CTTCGGCTGATCGTACACTTGCATCCTCCTTTATTATTTTGAAAACATTTTAAGAAAATCGTTTTAAAATCTTGTCCTCAGTTTGAGACTGGAGACACGCGAGTGTTTCCTCCAATTCACTCAAAACAAGGCTCTGATACCAACTTGTAACATCCATAAAATTCGAGCCAATTTAAAACTTTTTAAGACATTTCAAAACACATGATTATTACAAACTTGTTTTCAAAATAGTATATTGTCAGAGCATCCCATAATCAAATCATAAAATCATAAAATGTGAGGAGCGGTACGATCACGCCTTCGCCTTCCCGCGATCATCAGAAGTACCTAAAACAATAATCGATAAATGTAAGCTCGAAGGCTTAGTAAGTAACCCCCAAAATACCAACGCCATACAGTCATAATCATATCATATAACATATAAGAAAACAACATGCATAACGAGCCATCAGTATGACTAGACCAAATCCCGGTCCTCACTCTATCTGGACCGCTCTCCGAGCCCTCGGCACGTCTGGACCGCCCTCCTCGGGGCCTTCAGCCTATCCGGACCGCTCGCTGGGCTTCGGCCTGACTATATTGCCCGGCCCGGGCCTGCAGTCTACCCTGTCCGCCAGGGTGTCTTGGCCTACTGCACACAACAGGACCTGCCTCAACCCTTTCCCCAAACCAACAAACATGTGCACATACACATAAACAAGTAAACATACAGATCTAACAGATCAACATGGCAACCATCCTATAACAGGATACCGATCTAACCGATCTCTAGCATGGCAACCATCCTAAACTATGATGAAATCTAACATAGCAACCATCCAAAACCAGGATGAAATCTAACATAGCAACCATCCTAAACCAGGATGTAATCTAACATAGCAACCATCCTAAACCAGGATGAAATCTAGCATAGCAATAACATAGCAACCATCCTAAACCAGGATGTAAATCATAAGGGCCGGGTTGGTGCCGTAGACCCTGTTGATATAGTGCGGATAACTCACATCCCAAAAGTCGCACTGAAAGTGATAGGCTCAACTCTCGAATCACCAACACGAACTCCACCACCTACAGTTACCATAAAACCCTTTTTCATAAATTTCCAAATTACTAAAATACCCCCAGAGGTCAACTGGTCAACCCTTGGTCAAAGCCAAAGCCAACAGTCAAGGTCAACAGTCCATGTTGAACCGAATCGTCGAGTGCAGTTTACCGACTCGTCGAGTCCTTCCTGAACTCGAGAAGTCGTGAAATCCTTGGTTGACTCGTCAAGTTTCCCCGCAACTCGCTGAGTTCATGCATGTCCAAGGGTTGGGGAAAAACCTTAGCCGACTCGCCGAGTCATTCGACTGGCTCGCCGAGCCCAAGGAAATCTTCAACGCACTCGCCGAGTTGTTCATCCAACTCATCGAGTACATGACCATCTTCATATGACTCGCCGAGTCGACCTTTGGACTCGCCGAGTCTCTTCAATCCTTCAACCATACAGATGCTTTTTAGGCCATGCTAAGGCTCCATATTGTAGATCCGCTTCCCAAGGCATGTTATCACGTAAAGTTGCAAACTTTACGTGCATGCAAGATGATATGGGACCCAAAATAAGCTAAAGAAGAGGTTCTAGGCAAAGAGCTTCACCAACATGCCAAAGACTGAGACTTTATGATGATAAGAGCCAAGATGAGCCTAGATCTGAAGTTGCAACTTCAGGTCTTGGTTCATCACTCGAAATGCAACACCAAATGCCCAAAATGGTCCCAAAACTCAAATATGGAAGGGGTCTAATTAGGAGAAGCTCAAGGTGATGACTAGATACCTCTAAATGGTGACAAACTGAGGTAGAATTCAACACCAAATGCAACACCAAATTCCAACAACTAAAAAAAACGAACTAACAACAAACGAACAAAGAAATGACGAAAAACCAGAACATCTTTTGATCGGTGCAACTAAAATTACTACATCTTTCTCCACAATTAAAAGATCAAAGGATATGATCAAATAACTTGAGTTATTATAAATATGAACAAATAAAGAGAGAATGAAAAAAGACTAGAGTTTTATATAGAGTTTTATATGAAACTAAAAGATGAATTACAATACAAAGAAAAATAAGGGATAATGACTTGAAAGGTAACAAACTTTTCGACTTTGTTCACATTTAGTCACTAAACTTTTTTAATTATTTATTTGCCACTGAACCATTGAAACCGGTACACATTTATCATTATGACTGGTAACAACCGGTCATAAGGATAAAATGTGAACAATTTCAATGGTTCAGGTAACCAAATAGATAATGAAAAAAAGTTTAGTGACTAAATGTGAACAAAGTCGAAAGTTCGTTTTCCCTCTAAAAAAAAATCAATGACTAAATGTGAACAAACTTTCTCCTCTATTATGTTTAGCAATTTATTTATTTTTGTTAAATTCTAAGAACCTTTGTTGATGAAGAAATCTATGAAATAAAAAAAACCCACAAAAAATATATTAAAAAAGAAAAAACCGAAACCGAAATAAAACACCGGTTTTGGTTATTTTCCAAAATAAAAAATCAAAATTTCTTTTTTGATTTGGTTTAAACAAAAAAAGTGACCATTTTCACCCATAGCATTAAGAAATTGTATTTCATGGTCAGAAATTATTTTGTATTCTGAAGAAAACAAATATTAAAAACCTTATTTTTTTTTAAAATGTTATTTAAATTGAATTATATTTTTTCTAAAACCTTTTAAAATTATGAGCGACTTTTTTGAAAGAAAAAAAAACGCCGTTTTTTTTAATTGTGAATATATAGCTTTTTTTTCTAAAAAAATATTTTTGTAATGGTAATATGGATGGGGTGGTTTGGGCGTATACTTTATAATATATGTTACCGGTTTTACTTAAGTCCACATGTCTAGCTATAAATAATCATAAATTTCAATAATTATTCAAACTTTTTATTAATATACAATCTCAAATATAAATCAATTGTCCAGATAAATTAAAAATGTCTAACTTTTAACAAACTTGACTTTCATTTTCGATATCTTTTCTAATAGTTATATACTATATGATGTATGTCAATAATGAAGTATAACAATATATATAATATATATATATATCTATATATATAATGATCAATGTTGTATGTATTTTTTTTTATAAACAATGTATATGGTTAATGTATGTTAATTATATGTTGCATAATTTTATAAGACAAATTCATACATATAATATTAGGATAATTTTTAATATATAATATTGCATAGTTTTATAACATAAAACTTATACTATAATGTTGGTTCGTTTCTCGTTTTTTATACCTTTTCGGGGTTTTGTTTTGTTTTTTTTTCATAAATTTCTTCATCAACAAATGTTGTTAAAATTTAGCAAAAATACAAGAGGAAAGTTTGTTCACATTTAGTTATTGAACTTTTTTTAGAGGGAAACGAACTTTCAATTTTGTTCACATTTAGTCACTAAAACTTTTTTTCATTATCTATGGTCATTGAACTATTGAAAACTGTTCACATTTTACCCTTATGACGGTTGTTACCGGTTGTAAGGGTAAAATGTGAACAGTTTCAATAGTTCATCTGTCAAATAGAGAATGAAAAAAAATTTAGTGACTAAATGTGAAGAAACGTCGAAAAAGTTTGTTACCATTTCAAGTCATTACCAAAAAATAACTATAAACAAAAAAGCTATGTATGGTTAACGTAGCACATATAAAATAAACCCAATAACCCAACACTTTATTATTACACTAACACTTTAAATATAATTATACTAGGTGTAAAAACTCATGTATTACATGGGTTAATTAAAAAAATTAAATATAAATGTCTAAATATTTAAAAACTTCGGATTTATAAGAAAATAAAAAAAAATAATGAATTATTAAAATTGATTTTTTTGTTTTTTAAATTTAAATAAATAAACAAAATAAACTAATGCGCTTTTTTAGGAATTTTGAAATAAGAAGGTAGGTTTATTAATGAAATTGATATTCATTTATTATTATATTTATTGTAATTATTATATTAAAGTATTATATGTAATTTATTAAAATAGAAAAAATCTATAAAATGACATGTGGAAAAAAAATTAATTCAAAATAGCCATAAAATAACATTTTGCAAATTAAATGAGAGTGTGACATGTGGCAAAAAAACATGTATTTATTAGAGTAGATAATATAATATTAGACAATTAAATAAGATAATTGGTTATGTTTAAACCGAATTATTGATGTGTAATGGTTAAATGTGCTTCTACTATCTGAAATTGTAATAGATGAAAGTAGTAATTGTTTCGGTGTTTTGATAAATTATGATTATTTAGTTTACTAACTGGTAAAAAAAACATATTCATCCAATGATTAACTGATGTTTATATTCGTCATTTTGTCTTTCTCTCTAAAAATGAAATACCGATATATATTAGTAACAAATGTATTTTCTTATTAATTCGAGTTGCACAAAACTTTTCCAACTAAAACCAACCAAACCATAACAATGTTATGCTTAAGAGTTCCCATTCGAATATTGTGATCATTAACTATATAAACCTTCTTGTTGTTTCCAACACATTGATTTATTTGGACATAACAATTAAATGCATATTTACCAACGTAACTTAGATCATTCCTTATTTCAAACAATCTAAACTAAAAACAAATTTTCATTTATCCTCCATTAATAATAATTTATTTATCTTAATTATAGTATCGTATCAAAACTTGATAGTTAAATAAATAATAATATCTTTCTTTGAACAAAACCGATCAAAAGTTCAATCATAAGACGAACTTATTATTCGATAACATATTTACCTTATAATAAAAGTAACCAAATTACATTCTTGTTGTATGTGCTTAATCCTCAAAATAAAAATATTATTATTTCTATTCATTAAGTTATTAATCAATTTGATCAACATGAACCCATTTTTATAATATGATATAAACACCTATATATACAACCATTATTAAGCAACATCACACTCCTAACCTAAAAATGAAACATGACACAAAAAATATACTCCAACTTTTCATCTCTTTACAAACATTTGGGCTTCTCTTTCAACTATCAGGTAAATATCTTGAGATTTTGTTTAGTAGTGCATTGTTTTTTTAATTATATAACATAGTCCATTTATGTTTCTTTTAGCAATAAAAACATCCAAATTCATAAGTAAACTTTTTATTATATTATAGGTTACTTATAAATAACTGGGGCAAATTTGTCATTTCATTTTTATATCTTATCGGAATGTAGAAGAGAAGCAAGTCTGAAATTTGTACAACTTGTACATGCACAATGTACAACGCATTACAGCATGGGATAGATTGATTTGCTTATTTCCGTGGTTTCTTTGCACAGCTGCTGTCCCTATCGGAATCTGCTACGGCCGCGTCGCCAACAACCTTCCACCGCCCTCAGACGCCGTGAATCTCATCAAAACCAATGGTATCTCAAGCGTTCGACTATTCAACCCTGACCCGGAGTCACTAAAGCCGTTTTCCGGCACCGGAATCCAACTCACTATCGGAGTCCCTAACGAAGAACTCCCTCCCATCGCCACCAGCACCGCCACCGCCGCTCAGGACTGGCTTCAATCCAATATCTTCGCCCACGTCCCAGCCGATCAAATCCGGTACATAGTCGTCGGAAACGAAGTATTTCTAAAAGACCCATTTTACACACCCCACGTGATCCCCGCCATTTCAAACATTTACGAAGCTTTAAAATCTATCGGCCTATCGGAAAAGATTAAAATCTCATCAGCACAAGCAGCTTCGATTCTCTCAAACTCCTACCCTCCATCATCTTCATATTTCGACCCGAATATCTTACCAGATTTAAACCGACTCCTTCAATTCCTCCGCGACACATCATCGCCATTAATGGTGAACGTGTACCCTTACTTTAGTTACATAAACAACCGGGAATTCGTGTCGTTAGACTCTGCTTTATTCAGACCTGGGAATTCATTGCATGACCAGGATCTGGTTTACGATAATTTGTTTGATCAGACGGTTGATGCGTTCATATACGCGATGGAGAGAGAAGGGTATGGTGAGATTCCGGTGGTGGTGACGGAGACAGGGTGGCCGACGGCGGGCGGAGAAGCGGCGAGCGGGGAGAATGCATTGTGTTACAACGGGAATGTTGTGAAAAGGGGTTTGGATAACGTTGGTACACCCAAAAGGCCTGGGATCGGTGTGGAGGTTTTCTTGTTTGACTTGTTTGATGAGGATGAAAAAAACGGGAATGAATTCGAGAAACATTTTGGGATTTTTGGGGTTAATGGTGTCAAAGCATATGATCTTAATTTTCACTGAACAAAACTCAAAAATATGAATATTTCACCACATAATCTCGTCTTGTATGAATTCGATAGTTCATACTTCATAGGTGTGTTTTTTTGGAATTCCTTTGGGCTTTTAGAGCTTAATATCGGCCCGTTTATCGTTTTTTCTTTCTTTCTTTTTTATGTTATTTTATAAATTGAATATTTTACTATTTTACCCTTCTAACTTCTATACTTTTTGCATGTTGGGAAGTTTATAAATCGTTGGTTTGCGTGTAAAAAATAATTCATGTGTTTTACCGTATCAATACCAAATGCAAAGCAACTCGCTTGCTCGATAAATCTTTGACCTTTTATTGGACCTTTCACATTTAGACCCTAAATTTTATTGTAAGTCAAAAATTACACTACAAACTCACCCACACTTGTGGGATCATCTAATATCCGAAAATATTTAGGGTTCGGGAAAAATGGGCCTCTTGAAAACGTGAAAATAAATAAATGTATGAACCAAAACAATCTTTGTTTCCCAAATTTGGCTTTGCTAGGGTTGTTTGTCCATTCAAATAATGGTGATGGACTAAAAAACAACGTTTGGGTTTGTATCTAGCCTTTAGGCCACAAAGTCATGGGGTATATGTATATCCACCACACCATCACACTAAAAGTGTGATATTCAAAGTCAATCATCACATTTAAACCACATCAAAACATCCCTTTTTATTATATATATATATATATAATATATATATATATATATTCATATATATAATAAAACGGGATGTTTTGATGTGGTTAAATGTGATGATTGACTTTGAATATCACACTTTTAGTGTGATGGTGTGATGGATATACATATACCCCATAAGATCGGGTGAGAACTCTTTTTCAATGACGACTCGTGAGAACACCTTAAAAAAATTGTAAAAAAAATACAGATCATAAAATCGAGCATAATACTATATCGGAGAAAAAAAATTGGAAAAAAAATTGGATCATTAAAATTAAAGCATGAATCATTTTTATGATCCATGATTCAATTTTAATGATCCAAAAAAAATCCAATTTTTTTCTCTCCAATATCTTACTACGCTCGATTTTATTATTTGTATATTTTTTTTTTTTTTATATTTTTTTCAATTTTTTTAAGGTGTCCTCATCGAAAAAAGAGTCCACGTCGGAACCGGACTATATATATATATATATATATATATATATATATATATATATATATATTATTTTATTAATTAAAAGATAAAGGGAGATAAATAGATAAATAAGATTATTAGATGTAGTAGTATATGCTCTGCATCACAAAAATTCACCACAATGTGGTTGTTAATGGGGAGGTGGGGATATGTTCACATACCAATACCAGTACCACACCACATTGTCACATAAGTCATAGTTTATTTTCGAGACAACCATACCCAAAGTCTAATATTATATATTTTCAAATTTAACATATAGCTTTTGAAGCATTTTGCAACGACTAGTCAAGCATTACAATATTCAAATTGATATATTAACCTACTTTTTTAATTCCCCCGGCTTTAAATACTTTTTTATACGCCAATGAATACTAAAATGATACCAATGATAGTTTCATATATTCAACTAACGTTTTATCACCAAGACATATTTGATATTATATTTGTTTTAAAATGAAAGTAGGGAAAAATAACAAAAGAAACCACCAAAATATGTTTCTTTGTAGTAGGGTTTCTTCATTAAAATGCCATTAAAAATCAACATGAGTATTGTAAATAGAGAAAATTACAAATGTAGCCTAATACACTAATTAATTTGTGGAAAATAGTAAAAAAAAACCCCAAAATTACAAATTTAGCCCCTAAAATCGCAGATGGAATAATGACATCTGCGATTTTGCAAGTCCATCTGCGATTTTGTTGTTTCCATCTGTGATTTCGTGTGGGTTTTTGAATAAAAACGTTTTTTTTCTTCATTTTTCACTTTTTAAGTTGAAGAAACTCTCTCTCTCTCTCTCTTCTCTCTCTCTCTCTCTCTCATTTCCTTTGACGATTTCTTCAACAATCTCGCAAATATGGTAAGATCTTAACTCATTTTATGTTTTAATCAACATTTATTTAGTGTATGTTTTTTTATTATTATTTATTCTATTAGTTTTTGTGAAGAAAATGAAACTATATTCTATGTTATTTAGTAATTATGTTGTTTTGATGCTATTTGGTTAGTGGTTGTATGAATGTACAAGTATAAACGACGTAAAATGTATATTGGGTTGTTGTACATTTAGTAAAATGCCTACAATATGTTGTTGTTTTTTACTTGTCGTTTGTTTATTTGTCGTTTATGTTGAAAAATGGTTACAATATGCTTTTGGTTAGTGTTTGTATGAATGTACAAGTATAGACTGCGTAAAATGTGCATTGAGTTGTTGTACATTAAGTAAAATGGATACAATATGTTCTTGTTTTTTACTTGTCGTTTATGCTGAAAAATGGTTATAATATGTTTTTGTTTTTCAGCAAGAATATTGAAATTATTGTTTGAATGTTGTTTAATGCATTGTTTATGTTTGTAATTTGAATGTTGGATGATTTATTTATTCTATTTAATATCCCGATATTTTAAAGGAAATAGTTGTTAAGTTTTGTAATTTTTTTTTGTTTTTTCAGCATGATTATAAAAATTTAAATGTTAAAGCTATTGTGAACTTAAAAGGATCGGGGTGTAAGATTTGGGAAGTATTGTAGGTGCTACATGGTGCACGACGCGATAGTTTTAGACAAACTGTGTTTGGTTACTTGTTAGACGTCGCTCGTTTACAAGGGGACGGATTGTTGTCCCATAAAATGTTTTCTTCATCAGATACGGTCGGACGCCGTTTTATCCTCAGATGGCATAAAACGGTTACATTTTAGAGTGGGGGATACGAAAATGGTTTATGGTCCGGAAGAGTTTTGTTTGATAACCGAGTTTAATTTTGGCGTGTATCCCAAAATGATTGGCAAAAAAGTCTCAGAAAAAAAAAGTTACTAGTAAAAAAAGATGTTTATTGCGTGAACGGCTATTTCCGAACCATACAAATAGTTCGGTGAAAATCTGTGACTTGAAAAGTTTTATTTTAAATCATTCATTCTTAGAAGCTACTGACGATGATGCAGTTAGACTATGTCTTATATACGTTTTGTGTGAAAGATTTTTGGGAAAATAAATAAATGACCGGGTGCCGCAAGATTGATTTTTTTTGGCCGAGAATTTGGATGTGTGGAACAGATATTTTTTGTTTACTTTGAAAGTTGCATATTATTAATGTTAATGTATATTATAATTAATATTTTTTTTTTGCAGTTTTGCTTGGGGTAGCTATCTTTGGGATTTTACCTATGACGACCTTGAGGATACGTGGAACAAGATAGATAGATATTTTTCACTATCGGAGCGTCGTCAAACTTTTAAATACTCCGTTTCAGGATTTACGGCGCCATTTAGGGTATACAAATTTATTATTATTTTAAATAAGATGTTATTGCTATGTTAGTTATTTTAATTTTTATTACTATAATTGTGAAAATTGTAGATATGGGTATATGAGATGCTTCCAGCTGTTCGTGCTTGTGGATTTGCGTTAAGAAAAAACGGAGACACACCTTGGATGAAACGATGGAGTGGTACGAAAAAATTGAAATGTGTTGATGTGAACAAGATTTTTGAAATGAAAAAGGTTTGTAAATATTATTTTAATTTTAAAAAATTCCTTATTACACTTTTATATGCATTTAATATGTTAAATTGTTTTAGGAGGGACGACGACCAAGAAATAACATGTCACCGAGTGATGATGAGACGAAGTCTTTATGCATTTTTAATATGTAAATTGTTTTAGGAGGGACGACGACCAAGAAATAACATGTCACCGAGTGATGATGAGACGAAGTCTTCTTATTATATGTCATTTCAAGAGTATGTATATGGTGAACGGAATTCAGTTCCATCCCCAGTACGGGAGCATTTTAGGAGACAAGACGTATCTTCGTCTAGTATGTCTTCTAGTGGTCGCTTTCACGGTAGAGGTGAACCTACTGGGAAACCAAACTTAGAGGAGGTGTTGAAACGACTACATGTGTTTATGAACCGAGAACCTACTGAGGTGTTTGTAGAAGAAGTGGATAATGAAAACATATGGAACAACGTCAGCTTTAAGGAACCTGCAGTATTCCAAACAAATTTTGGTGAAACGGTTAGTTATACCCTACATTTTTTATATAATTTGTTAACATATTTGTAAATTTTTGTTAATATTTTATAGCTGAAAATGTAGGTTGTAGAAGATGAGTCGATGAATAAAAATAAAACCAATGAAAATGTTTTTGGTGATATTGAAGACGACATGGTTATTATATATATATATTACAAATACGATTTTCATTGTTAAATGTTAAGGCGCCTTTCGTTAATAATTATAATGTTTTAATTTTAATGTAGGAGTTGGACGAGAGGATAGACAACACGGGGCGTAGTACGAATAAATTTGATGATGATGTGTTCGCTTTTGATGATAATGAACCTGAACATGTTGCTATACTTACATTTATTTTTTTGTTTCTTAATAGATTCATACATTTTTTTAATTAATGATTATATCTTATTAATTTAGGTGTTAGAGGAAGATGTAATAATTACAGGGACCGTTAATCATTTTGATGATCATGTTTTTGATTGCAACGAAGTTACACCCAATAGACCCAGGGTTCGAAATCCATCAAAGTATAAGTGTCCTCCTTACACCGAGGTGTTCATTTAATTTGAAAGCTTATATTATTATAATTATACCTTTTATGTGAATTATTTGAAACATAATGATTTACACTTTCAATATTGTTTTAGTTGCACACGACACCAAAGCAAAAGCGAAGACCAAAGAAGAAGGTTGATGCCAAGTCAACAACCCCCGTTCCTCCTCCAGTATTCGCTGTTGTTCATGACTTCTCGGTTTTGCGCTTGCAACCTTATGTAGCAGGCGGTGAGGTTGTTTTAAAAAATTAT